TTAATCGCTTTATTCATAAATATAGAATGAAATTTTAATTGCTTTATAAAACCACCTTACATATGAGGCCATGAGAACAGAAGTGGTCTAACCCACAATTTTTTTTGTTTGTACTTAGCTTCTTAAAATAGTTTCAAATGTAATAAATTTTAACGTAAAGGTCGCTTTATTCCTTAATTTGATAGTACGTTATGTAGCTATGTACCTTAAAATTAAGAAACAATCGACTTTAATTTCAAAACGGATCACATTTGAGACTCTTATAAGTAGGCAAGTACAAAAAAATAAATTTTGGGTTAGGCCACTTCTGTTTTCATGGCCTCATATATAAATTCGCCTTGTTTACAACCTTTAAATTTGTATGACATCTTGTATGTAAGGCTTATAAATAATGGTCGAAATGAAATTGACTCTAAAGTTAGCTGCAGATTTTTTCACAGACTTTATTTTGACGAATATTTTTAAAGAATTTTTCGATTTATATGGCCTTTTAAATACTAAGGTATGAATATACAAATATTTATGAATTATGCGCCATGTTATTATTTATATTATATACATATTTGATTAGACAGAAACTTTACCGAATTGCATTCATTTGCAAAATGTATTCAACTGAAAAGCGACTCTGTGTTTCAATAGCATTTTTTAAGCGTTGTGGTAACACTGAGTGTGCTTCACTCATTTTGATTTTTTCGCGCAACTACTGAAAATCTTTTAGCTGCGGCAATTTAATTAAAGTTTTCATAAAATGAAAGTGGCTGTCTTAAATTAAAAGGGGTTTAGTTACAATTTTCAGCCAAAATATACATAAACGCTTATGCTGACTGGTGAACACAACTAAAGCTTATTAGTGTGCACAATCCTTCAGAGCCTTGAAGAATAACCTGGGTTATGTGAGCTTGATCGCTCAGCCAACCAAACCACATCGAACAAAGGTTTAGTGATTGTTATTTTTTACCAAAATTCAATGTAAGTACGAATATTTATTTTGTGAAAAGAAGCAATTTTGTCACCAATTCATATGTATGTATATGCATGTAGTTATGTACGTAGATACATACCGCAGCCGCTAGAAAACCATACAAAATGAGAAGAAGTGAGGTTTGGAAGTTTTTTAATGAAAATAAAGTAATGTAAAAAAAATATTTTTTTAAAAATAAGCTTTTATTTAACATGTTTAATCAAAGGAATAAATTAAAGTAGTGAAACAAAAAATTTGTTAGCAAGAAAATTTTGTCACTGCACTAAAATGAATAAAATAAAATAAGTTAAGGTCTCGTTAAAGTTTCTAAAAGCCATTTAGTGAAAGCAGTTATTCAAACTCTAATGAAAATTACTAACAATTTGTACTAATTTACTTCGTTTTTAAAAAAGCTTGCAACTTGCAATGAAAGAGAACAGAAGACTATGCAAGCAAAATGTTGTTTGCTTACGTTTTGTATAAACATACATATGTACATACATACATATATCAGCAGTTAATTTCATTTAAAGAAATGGCGTGTCGTCCACTTCCGCTGTAGCATGGCATATATTTAGGCGCAATATTAAAGTTCTTCTGGCGGGGAAACTTCTCGAGTCTTCTAATTGTATCTCCTTGATATGATGCCTACAACGAGGTTCATATCTAGACTAGGTTGATATCTAGAATTTGCCATAAATAGCTTTGCTCTGGTTTTACGTTCTTTGGCAAATTACGCTCTGTTAGCCATAAATTTTACTAATTTTTGACCGACTTTGAATCAAGACCCCTGGACCATATAGGGAATTAATTTATATTTTAAATTGCATTGTCATCGTGATTGGAACTATGCTGAAAATTTCAAGTCTCTAACTTGTCGGGAAGTTAGATTAAAATCGATTGGAAATTTCCACGATTTGCGCGGGATGACCAAGTTAAATAAAAGCTTATAAAAATGAAAAGGAGGCCAGCTGCGAAATTTGTTTCAAAACTATTCAGCGCTCGGGAAACACAACAAATTTACAAAAACATGTTCGCACGCATCCAGAGTTGTAAGTGGTTTCCTTGGTTAACAAATTAATATACATAATTGGTTATTTTCTAGTGCTAAAAGTGACATTCAAAATGATGGGCAAAAGAAGCTACCTGGTTGCAGTTCAGCGGTAGAGGTCCAAAGCAAAATTACTTCTCCCAGTGCTAATAGCGATTCAAGCGGGCGTCAAAGCTCTCCGCCATTGGCAGTTACTCCAAAAACAAGTGGGAAAAAACAGCAGCGGTTGGGGGATTGTCTAAAAAAACGGTAAGTCATATCCAATTTATACAAATTCTGAATACTTTTTATATAAAAAAAAGCGTAGGACAGTCAGCAAAAAAATTCTCAAAAATCAACGCAAGTTTTTAGACATTTGAAATTTGCACATTATTATACTAAAATTTAATAGACTATAAAACTGCATACCTGATTTTTTTTAGAAATTCTTATTAAAAAGTTTTCGATTTTGCTGAAACTTTGCAGATTTTTCTAAATTTAGTATGTAAAACATTGCGAATATTAACAAAAAATTACCGTACGCTCAATTTTGTGAGTAACAGTAGATAAACTCTATTTGGAAAATTTCAAGTGGGCAAGAATTATCGTTAATTTTTATACAACCTTTCATTTACGTTCTTGCCATATTACATATACAGACAAAGTCAAAAGACAGCATACACATTGGTCTAATATAATATTCACAATTATTTTCATGAAACAAATTTTTCATACATTTTTTATGAAAATATAGTTCATTCTTTAACATATGCCATATAAATTGAAGTTTCACACCTTGTATAAAAATCAACAAATTTGTCATGAAATTTTCAATTTTTTAATCAGAATTTTTATAAACTTTTCGGGTAGTCAGTTTTGTAGCCCATTCAATTTCAATAGGGCAATTCATCAAAACGCGTAAATGCCTCGTAACCATGTAAACCTCGTAAACTTACTTAATTTTCTATGGAAATTCAGTTTATTTACGAAATTTACACGGTTACGCGACCATTATGCGTTTTGATGAATTGCCCTATTGAAACTGAATGGGCTACAAAACTGACTACCCGAAAAGTTTATAAAAATTCTGATTAAAAAATTTAAAATTTGATGACAAATTTGTTGATTTTTATACAAGGTGTGAAACTTCAATTTATATGGTACTAGATCGCCCTCACCCGCTTAGCTGAGTGTATGAAATTTTTGCGTGCTACTTTGGGAAAAATCTATTTCAAGAAAAGTCAATTCAAAAACAGGAGGTTTAAAATTTGTTTAACCATCTTCAAAATATTTTCAAACTATAACTTTCTTAAACTTCTCACTTGTCATACTTTTTCAACTCAATTGAAATTTTAAACAGAGGGAAACCTTTCACATATAGTTTTGAAATTAAGTCCTTTTAATCATTTTGATTGATTCTCATATTGCAATAATTCATTTAAATTATTGAATAGTTTGAATTTAACCTTTTAAACAGTTTGCAACCTTTTTAAACCTCTTTCGTCTAACACTCATATTGTGATACATATTCAAAACCATTTCGATTCATACCAAAATATATTAATATATTATATATTAATATATTATATTGTTATTAATATATTATATATTTCAAAATATATTCAACTACAGATTTTTAAGCCTCTTGACATCCATTTTTTGTTTAAGATAATTTTCAAATAACTCCCTTAATTGAAATTGAATTAGATTTTTTAAAAGGTGGCAGCCCTCATCCATGAGTAGATAATGATTTTATATATCTCCATGCCAAGTTCCAGTAATCTACCAAAAATATTTCCTGAGAAATACAGTATGAAAAATTCCGTTTGTATGGGAGGTGCCACCCCCTCTTGCCTAATCGAGATTAAATTTATCCTTTGTTTTAACCCTAGAGCACACACCCGGGTACAAATGTATCCACTTTCAACTTTGAAGTGTTGTAACTTTTGAACCGCTATACCTCTATACCGCTTCGGATCTAGGAAGATTATTTAGTTTTGAGTTCAAATTCAAAATTTGAACCAGATCGGACCATTGGTTCAGGAGCTACAGCCTTCCAAACACATTATATACGTAAACACACACCCGGGATACGTTTGTACCCCAATAGTAAAAATCCTCATAATAATAAAAAAAAAACATTTTTTATATTATTTTTTTATTTGAAAAATTAAAAATATTCATTTCACACATTATATTATTGACTTTTAATATAAAAATTATAAAAATGCATCTTATATCTAAGGAAAATCATGGCAAATAGAGCAATTTGTTGATGTGACCGAATGTTCAAGACACATTGGCTTCTTACATTTGTCGCACAGCTTTCTGGTTTTTCTACGGCGTTTTTCCTCTTGTGCGTAACATAAATAGCAAGATCCGGACACAGGTTTTGGCGTGCGCGCTGCGGCAGATGTTGATGCTGCTGTTGACACCATTGATTCCACCGGTCGGTTGAAATATGCTTCAATAGCAATTTTAGTCGAAAAATTTCGCGTCACTTGACGATTTATGGCTCTGGCTTCAATAATGGGCATACACAATGCTTCAGCCAAGCTGCGCAGGATCTGCTTACGCTTGTTGTTTGTTCTCCAAGGCAACATAGGGTTATTCAAATCGTAGACAATGTAGGCTGCAAGAGCTGTAATGTCCAACATGTTGAAGAACATCGCTAGTGGCCATCGTTTTGTTTGTCTTTGTGTTGGATATTCCGCAAACATTTGGTCCATTCGATCAACACCACCTTTGGTACGATTATAATATTCAATTATTTGAGGTTTCCCACTGTCAGCTATTTCAGCATCATTATGCATGGTCGAAAGCAAAATTACTGCTTTATTTTTTTTGGGAACATAAGAGCACATTGTCACATTATTTTTGAAGCCAAATGTCGTTGAACCAATTGTCCTGTTTTTGTTCTGCTTCATTTCTTGAGGAATATATGATTTGTTTTTGCGCAAAGTTCCAACGATCGTGAGTTTCCAGGTGAGAAGCAGTTCTGCAACTGGCAAGGTCGTAAACAAATTGTTTATTGTAATGTTTCGGCCACTTCCTTGGTATTTGGCAGACAAATCCTTCACCACTCGTTCGCCTTGGTTCGTTTCCCTACCAGTTTCTGCTTGGCCAGTATATATTTGTCCATGCAGTGGATATGCATTTGTGGCATCGCAAATCCACCAAACCTTGATACCATATTTAGCAGGTTTTGACGGTATGTACTGCGTAAACCGTGTGCGTCCACGGTAAGGAAATAATTGTTCATCAATCGTCAAGCATGAGCTGGGCTTGTAATGTGCAGCAAGATTATTGTTCATCATCGTCCACAACTCACTTATCGGTGCTGCTTTATCAGTTAGTAAGCGTGTTGCACGAGTGTTTTTATCGTCAAATCTTAGGAACCGCAATATCGAACAGAAACGGTTGACTCCCATTGTGGCGCGATATAAAGGATAGTTTTTGACGCTCCATAAATCTCGAACATGTTCTCCATTGCTATGGTTCGCACCAGTCATAATAAGTATGCCAAAAAATGCATACAGCTCTGTTATTGACACAGGCGTCCATGACTTAGGAGTTGTGTTTGGATGCGCATTGTTGTAAGCATTATAAGTTTCTTTTGCTAACTTATTTGTGTGGCGCATAATTATATCAGCCATTTCAACGTTCATGAAACATTTGAATGTTTGCTCTATTGACAACATTTCAGTGCATCTAGCTGGTCCAGAACGTTCTCTTATAATATTTTGTCTGAGTACCTGACGACTTACATTTGGTTCTTTCATCCACTCAGTACCATCACGTGCAACAAATTTTTCGGCACTAGCAGGTAATTCATTATTTTCTTCTACTTCTTCTTCTTCATCGTCTTCTTCATCATCCTCATAGTCCGCATAATCAGGTAATACTTCTGCGGCACTTTGCGAAACTTCAGCATCGTCATCAGCAATTTCAATGTCATTGATTTGAATTTCTTCTTCATCTTCTGAGTCAAAGTCATAGGGAGCGTCATCATCACAAATTTCATCAAATAAAGATTGTATATATGATTCTCGCTGTTCCTCAGTTAGCCTGCATAATAAAAAAAATTAGTATATGTTTACATTGTTGCTTATTTTACATTTTTTACCTTCTATATGCTGCACTTGATAAATATTCGTTTCTTCTTGAAGTCATTTCGTATCCAGTTATTTATAGTTTCAGTTATATTTATTTTCACTTATATTTTCACTTCTTACACTTTTGAGCACCAAAACAATAATGAAAATATCAACAGGCAGCATTTATAACAACACCTCGTGTGAAAACAACCCTTGCAGCTGCATATAAAATACAAAAACCAGTTATACCAGTGTATTTGCTACCTACGTACCCATACCTTGCGCGGCCTTTTTGCACATATCTTTTGAACCAGGTAGAATATTTCAATGAAATAAAAACCAAAATGTGTATTCGTTGTTACTCTACAAGTATATTATTATAAATTATATTATTTTGTTTTGCATTTATCAGGACAACAACAAAAACAAAAATCCACTGTTGCATGTCCTGACTTTATTTGCCCATATCGCTGGAACCAGTAGGAATATTCGAATGAAACAAAAGACAAAATACTTGTTATATATTAAAATATACAAATCATAGAAATCGGTTGAATAAGCATTAAAAAAACCGCAAAATAAGGTCCCGGGTACAAACGTATCCCGGGTGTGTGTTTACGTGGTATTTTCTGGGTGTGTGTTCTAGGGTTAAGTTGGGCTAAATAACAGCAGTGTACAAAATTTCATGATAATCGGTTGAATAGTTGAAGCGTGAAAGCATAGCAAACAAACAAACTCACTTTCGGATTTATAATATTAAGTAAGCATATGTTAAAGAATGAACTATATTTTCATAAAAAATGTATGAAACATTTGTTTTATGAAAATAATTGTGAATATTATATTAGACCAATGTGTATGCTGTCTTTTGACTTTGACTGTATGGAAAACTGGAGAATGTACTGTATGAAAGAAAAAGGTCACCTTATTAAACTGTATTAAATTGCTGTTCTGTTTACCCGTAATATTTCAAGAGATCGCAAATAAAATGGGCACGGTTTTCATGAAAATGTTGAAGTAAAACTTCTTTGCGCTCGGTAAATCGAAACGCGAGGAAACGTCAAAGCTACAGAAGAAGTTATAGGACGGTGACCTTTGTTGGGGAGGATAAGATTAAGGTTGAGATTAAACTTATAACTTATATCAAGACTAAAATTAAGATTTAAATTAAGATTAAGACTAAAATTTGTTCAAACAAATTTAAGTGAAAAGTATGAAATTTTAAGTAAAAGCAATTGCTTAGTTTTTATGCATACGGCCCATGGTGTTTATTATAAAGTGACCTATATTTTTACAAGAAAATAATTGAAAGTAAATAATAAACAAATAATTAGTCAAAACTTGGCAATATGTGGCGGTCTTATATTTA